TAAACTTCTGGCAACTCAGCTGCCAGTTTTTTACCGTAAAATGAGGCCGTTTTATCTTAAGTCTACATGAAATCTATACCCTACACAGACTAATGAAATACTATCTGTAAAATTATCTATGTAAACAAACCTCATCACTTAAGAAGGTAGGTGATGCGGACGTCGTGGAAGACATTTTGTCCCGTAACGCTCGCCGTACTGTTGGGGGGGGGGATGTTCATGTTGCTGCAGTCTGCAGTCTGGACGTTAGATGTTGCTGAAAATTACACACTGTAGCTTTAAGTCTGACATGTACTCTGTGTTACCTGAACATATGAATGTGGGCTTTCTGTTTGGAAGTGGATCTCCTGGAGCCGAGCACCTGTAGTTTGTTTGTGATGGTGAACTTGTGCATGTAAAGTTCATCCATAGAAAAAATGCTCAATAGCGGTTGTGGAGAGCCGAAGAGGTGCCCCCCCCAGAGCACTGAGTCCAGCGCCGGGAGACCCGAAGCCCCAGGCGCCCAAAGGGACTCCTTTGGTCCTGGATCCAGGCAGGAGGTCTTCCACATCCCTGGAAGTGTCTCCAGGGTCAGACTAAGGGGGAAGAGGTGCTGTAGAATCCCACAGAGCTGCTCAGCACCACATTCCCACATTTCATGGTCCTGGTGGTGTTATTATAAAAACCTAAGCACACCAGATAATGCTGAGCATTTCCTGACCAGGACCGCGTTCATGCAGGCCAGCTGGACACGTAACCCGATCACATACAAGGAGTGAGTCTGTTCCAGGCTCTAAACTGCTGCCTCAGTCTCACCACTTCCTGTTGCAACAGCAGCTGGACCAGTGAACGGTGAATCAGCTCTGCTGGTTTCCACAGACTTGGTGATAATCGGTGTCTGGAAAGCTACTGAAATTCTCTGTGAGGTTGGTTAGCTTGGATGATTTAAGCTCTGACTGGATGGATCACCATGGGGAGATGCTGTCTGACATCCTCCCCCATCTGACCCCCTGCTGGCCAGAGTGCGATTAGCATTAAGGAGCACAACACCTTCACAATACAAAAATCACACATGTAAAAATATCTCCAACTTGGTATCAATAAGAAAAAAAACTTTATTAAATCAAAGCTTGAACTCATTCAGAACAAAAAACTTCTCAACTTGTGCAAAGACGCATTTCAAGATTTCAAGGAGCTTAAAATTTGGCAGCAGTGAAAGGAAACTGGTTCTTAATTTCAGAAATCAGGATCGATGCGTTTGCTTCTTTAAGCAGAGAGACGCTCATCGCTTCAACCACTGCTGGAGGAGCAGGAGGACGTGATCTCGAGCCTCAGACAGCTGTGGAAGATCTTGGCTCCTCGCTGGGTACATGTTGGCGCAGTGAGCCGTCCCTGGATCAAGAAACAAAACTGCATTAATCCCACAGAGGCTCCGCATTCAGGAATCACAGGCTGAGGAGAGTTGAGCTGAATCTGAACATCATTAAGGACAAAGAATGGAAATAAAAAGGAGTCTTAGCTTTGGAGGAAGCTACCATCAATGTTCCTCCCCTTTAACTTTTCCCTCACATAATGACAACAAACATCAACGCTTTTCTCTGGGATTTGATGAGATAAAACACAGAAAGCAGAAAAGGAAAATATGGTTTATTTAAGCAAAAGAACTCTTCTGCCTTCAGACGTCACCTAAAGTAGAGTCAATCTGTGGGATTTATTTTCAGCATTTAATCAGGATTAATTGCAACGCTCCCAAGGGATGGTCTGACTGGACCACCGTAACTGTTACTTTGGAGGAGCTCCACAGCTCCGGTTGAAGAGTCTGCCTACTGTGCTGGTATTTGACTCACTATCAGGTTAGTGGTGAAAAGTCTTCAGCGAAGGAAACAGAAGATGCTAAAAACATGATGCAATGATTGAGCTGAAAGAGGACACCATCATCATGGCTCACCTTTAATAAAGACGGCAGGAAGCTCAGCTGTGATGTCCTGAGTGATTCCCAAAGCGTGCCAGGGGTCGACGGACCCATTGGGGAACACTATCCTGCTGGAGCGGATGTTATAGCCACCGTAGTACTCGTTGGTCTGGGCCACAGCTTCTGCCACCTCCTCAGCACTGATGTTGTAGAATCTTGCACACTGTTTCACTTGATAACTGCATTTAATTCAGGCAAATACAAGAAATTAAAGAGATCCAGTGTCTTTAGGCTTCAATGTGTTTTACAGGCATCTATATGAATGACTAACACTAGTAAGTGCATAATGGTGAGCAGGAAGGAAGAGGATGCATGTTTGTTTGTTTTTTTAGATAGAAAGAAAGTATTGATGAAGCAATATTGATTTCATGTAATTCTGAATTCTGCAGCAGGACAAACCAGGTTGTTCTGAGTTACTAGGAACCAAACAGGCTCATTTTAATCCAAATATCCTACATTCAGTAGCTCCACAGCAGCACTCCAATGAACAGCTGGAAAAACCCGTCTCCATGGTGACATCAGAGGGGGAACACTGTTGGAGCTAGCTTAGCATGCTATAATGGAAACACGGATGAACATCGTCTTGAATTGGTTTGGGTGGTTGAACCATCAGCCAGTTGAAGCACAGATCTGATGATGTCAAAGCGACAGATCTGATGATGTCACACCGAGAGGCGGGACAAAGGAGCAACGGGAGAGAGGGAAAAAAACACAGAGTCAAAACGCTCTGATGGCAGTTAGCTGCAACCAAACTCTCTAACCTTTGGCTAAAGTAAATGAGCGGAAATGGGGAAAAAAGCAGAGATTATTGGGGGGGACGGTCCCCACCAGGCCAGAGTTGGTGTGGGTGATACCAGTACTTCAGAAAGTTACGCCTGTGGCATAAATTCCTCTGATTCTTCTGTTAAAACCATGAACCTAAAAAACATCTAGAACAGGATGCAGAGCCACATTATTGCCATGAAGCTAGGCTGTGATCGGGGGGGGGGGGTGGACCCAGTGGAGACAGCTGTTAGCAGCTGCTATTGTTAGCTTTCACTGAACAACCAAGCAGCTCTTCAGATGTGGGAAGAAAATAAAAACACCTTCTCCTCAAAATGCCCATAGCACAATAGAGCTCCAACAGGAGATAACATAAAATGAAAAGTTTAGTTTAACCTTTCCTTTTCAATGAGGAAAGATTAAGCTAAGAAGTGATTCAAAGGTGATATAAACTTTATTAGTAAATACAGAAAAACATAACTAACCCAGAGGAGCAGATCATGACACTTTGATGTCATTTGCTGCATTTAGCTTTCATGAATCCTTAAAACTATACGTCTGTAGATGGATTTAAGAAAACTGTGAACATTTTTTCCTTCCATTTAATGAATATCTTATATTTTGTTTTGAATTTGCTGCTGCATAAAATACTATTAAGACAAATTACTAACCCTATTTGTGGATTACACAGCAAATGGTAAAGACTTAAAACAGTTATGTATGTTTTTCTCCAACAACAAAACGACTTTCTAAAACCAGAGAGGAATATATGAAACAGTGCATGATGTGAACGTAATTAAAGCCGATTGGGTGAGAATGTGCACTGTACTGAATCATAATCATGACCCTATTAGGCAGAAACACTATGTGCTGCACTTACCCAACAGGGAAGCCTGTGAATGGCTGGTTTGGGGAGTCTGTGCTCTGGTAGAATCCAAACTCACTGCAGGTCTGGTAGACCCACTGTCTCCCTGACAACAGATAAGCAAAAATAAACACTGCTGCATATTCACTCAGTAAAAACAGCAACAACACAGAGAATGTAGTCTGAATATTAGCTTGAATGTTATAATGACCACTGTCCTTTTAGTCATTCAGATTAATGAACAGGAGAAAGCCCACAGGATGGCCTAAACTGACAGGATGGATTCGAAAAGTTATGCCAAAGTACCAGAGTGGCTTTAGGAAATCACAAGCTCTCTCTTTGAAGCTAAGGTAGAGACAGGCCACTAACATCTATCTCTAGGGCTAAGGTAGACAGAAGGCCACTAACATCTAACCCTAGAGCTAAGGTAGAGAGAAGGTCACTAACATCTAACCCTAGAGCTAAGGTAG